ATCACTATAGGCCCTTGCTCATATGATGTTTTATTAAATTCTTCTGTGTCTGACAATTCCTTTCCATACAATGAGTCAGTATATTCTTTCCATCTTTTTTTAATACTTCCTGGATCATTTCATATTCTGCCTAAAGTATCCTTGATTATAGCAACTTGAGGTTTGAATTTGTTCTTCAATTCCTTGAGCTTAAGAAATGCTGAATGAATTCAGCCTTTTTGATTTTCTGACTCCAGCTCCTTGCACATTTCATTGTAATATTTTACTTTGTCTTCCCGTTGCCTTTTGAAACCTTCTGTTTAGCTCTTTAGTATCTTGAAGTCTTCCTTCTGCTTTGGCTTCTCCGTGCTCTAGTGCAATATGCAGAGTTTCTTCTGACATCCATTTTGGTCTTTTCTTCCTCTTCTCTTTGTAATGACTGTTTTCACTCTTCCTGGATGATACTCTTGTTATCCTTGCACAACTCATCCAATGAGCAAAGTTGCTGACTAGACCTAGATAACTCGAGATTTGTGGTGTTTCCATTGGTTGAGTTTTGGGAGCAGATAGTCCTACTTTTCTTCCTACTTAGAGGATGATCTGCTAAAGTCCTTTCAGAGCAACATGCAAACTTCCTATGTACTGACCAAAGTTATATTCTCAGGCAACTGTCCAGATGACTATCTTAAAGGCACATGGTTTAAATCTACCAGCAGATGTGCTGGGAAATATGCGCAGTCTCCGCTCATGTGATTAACTGCCTCTTAAAATCTGCTGGAGGGTCAACTATCGGGTCAGTGCTGAATCGAAGGCACACAACAACAATAACAACATACCATCCAGGAAACAAATCATTCTGATCCATTTCCTTATAAAAAAGGAAAAGAAAAATTAAATGAAAATAAAAAGGAAATTGTACACATACTAATACTGTTAGCTATTCCAACATTTTTATGCCAATTCTCTAAAAGCAACAGATACTAAATAGAGAAACAAAGTACACTGTCAACAGTGACTTGGGAGGGGGGATCCTGGGGACCTAGAGTGGGGTACAGAGCCTGGTCAGGATCAGGAAAGTGTTCTCCCAGGCCTTCTTCTATGTGGACACCCTCCTCAGCACACAGAGCCTCTGACATCCTGGATGAGATGTGATGATGCATGCACATTCAATAAGGCATCCTTTTTGGAGGGCATTTCGACACAGGAAGTGAAGGAAGAATGTTACATCTATCCACAGGCCTTACCCCAAGGCATGACTATTCTTTGAAAAAAATTTATAATTTAAGTGTTCTGATAAGACAACTAAGTGCCTGGATCCAGATAAGGCCCTGGGACTGATTACACATTGACAGGGCTCCTCCCCCAAATTCCAGAGCAAACTAACACTCTTTCCAGGTGCCACATAGCACAGGAAGCAGAGCTGATCAATTCATCTGCACACAGAACCTGGCAGGCTCGGTTGTCCCACTGAGGGTGTTCTGCCTTAGCGCTGCAGAAGGGCAAGCCTGAGAAATACAAAAGATAAGAAAGAGCTGGTTGACTTGTTGCATATGAGTTGTCGATGTAGAGTAGGGAAAAGAACATGATTCAAAACATGTTTGTGTTCTAGGTCTGCCTCAATGAGTATTAAAAGCCCAACAAAGCAAAAAAGAAAAAAGGACAGCATCTCATTCCCTCAAGCCAGAACTCACTCATACCTGATCCTTCCCTGGGTTTTCAGAGGGTATAAATTGCACAGGACAGAGCAGAGGTTAGAGCTGTTATACATAGGGTTGCTATGAGTCACAAGCGAATCGACGGCACACAACAACAACAACAACATAAATTTCACCATAAGTGATTGTTCTTTCTTTCTTGAGGCATTTGGTGTATTTGAACCGCCTACATTTGGTTTGGCAGTGCAACTCCTTACCCACTAGGTCTCCAGAGCTCCCTCATCTAGAATTGCCATCTGCTAAAAAGATAAGTGAATAATGAAGATACAATCATTTCCTTGGTTAAGACACATTTATTAAGGTTCTTGACATTAAGAGAGGATGATCAAGCATAGAGGGGCTCAGGGTGATTCTTCAAGTTGGAGGCCTTTTATTGTTTTCTTTATCCAGGGTAAGAAACTGGAGATTTTGGTGGAGACACGTGGGGGAGTTCCTATTGTATTTCCATAGGAGATAATGCCCTGGGCTACATTTTTGCATACCAAGGGGCCTCCAGAGTCTCCCTGGGAACAGAGAGAGGAAAGGAGTTAATTGTACTGCTGATCCTGCCTCCCTCTACATTCTGGGAGAAAACTGCCCCAATGAAGTGAAAGGGGCGGGGTGTGTGTGTGTGTGTGTGTGTGTGTATGTGGTAGGGGGTGTAGGAAGAGGGGGCTATAGGACTCTCTGGGAACTCCCTGGGTGCCAAAATCCTTTGCTTGACATCATAGTTGTTTCATTCCTAGGTTGTGATCTATCTCCTTCCCTAACTTCAGGACTCTTGCCTTCTAAGGATCTGTGGAAATTTGCTTCTGGGCTACTGTTTAAGGAAAGGCAGATGGTTAATGGAAGACAGTACATTGACCAGGGTGATGACAGCTCTTGAGTATTTACATGGTTTTGATTGTTCAACGTGGAGGGAGAGCTTTTCCTTGTATGTGTGCTCTAGGTAGGTGGGGCAACTCTCTCTACTTTCCCCACATTAAATAAAAAAAAAAAAATCCAAACCAGTTCTTGACATCTCAATTCATAGTAATCCTAAATGTTATAGAGTTGAACTGCTTACTGGGTTTTCTTCCCTATAATGTTTATGGAACATCCTTGAGAAGGTTCAAAGCACAAATCTTTAAGGTAGAACCTGAATGGAAACACTTTGTTCCTTAGAGATGATTGAGATGGCATGTTACTGTTGTTGTTTTGCTGTCACCTGTGAACTGACCCGTAACTGATTCTCCAGTGAGATTTTAGAGATGATGAATTGCACAGGAGGAATTGCCCATCTTTCTCCTGAGGAGCGCCTTTGGGATTACAGTGATGTTTCTTACCACTAGGCCCCCTATCACTTTGGGATGGAATAAGGAGTTACAAATTTCTCTTTCTGGAGGAACGCATTTCTGACTTACCCATGGGAAACTCACAGAGCCCTGAGTGACTGGGTAGTTTGGTGCTCTTGTTATCTCAGAAAAGTGAGTGAAGGCATTCCCCCTATTGTTAGCAAGGATCTTTACATCCCAGATCTTCCTGAAACATCCTGCTCCCCAGAACAAGGCTAGGCGAATGCTAAATCTCACCTTAAAGGTACACATCTTTTTCTGGGGGTCTCCCACGCACAACTGAATGGTCCTGTTATAATTCAAGTAGCGGCTCTCACACTGGATGTCCTCCTGAACGGTAAGATCTACCTCATGCAGCTTGCTTGTTTGATTATTCTCAGAGATCCAGCCCCAGCCAGCCACACTGCACACCTGCCCAGGCCTCACATGGTCACTTTCTCCAGGCAGGGGAAGCAGGCCCACAGCTGCAGTCAGTTTGGCCTTTGTGTTCAGCTGATGAAGGAAACAAAAAAGACTTGATCATACAGAGTCTGCTGCCCTGCAGAGCCTGATGGGCTGCACTTCATCCCATCTCTTCCCAGGGCCTGGGACTAATGAAGCAGTAAGTATGAGAAAGGCTGGGCTTCTGGTTGAAGGAGAAGTTCGTGAACCCAAGGGAGCAGGAGCAGCAGGGAGTGAGCCTCACCTGTAGTATCATGATGTCATTGCTCTGAGGCACATTGTTATGATCAGGGTGGCGGATGGCTTTTTTTACAGGAATTTCCTGCTGTGTATTTTCTTGCAACACAATATCATGGGCCCCCAAGATGACACTCATGGGGCTGTACAGAGAGAAAAGAAGAGGTTCTCAGAACTGGAGCCCTAAAGCAGGGGAAAATTGGGGAGGGGAGGGCGGCTGCTGAGGGAAATGCTGGAGGGAGGGGCCCTTCATCTTGAGCTTGCTGAACCTTTGGTTTCTCTGCAGCTTATAGGTGGTTGTGGAATTCTCTTTTGCCCTCAGGTCATATGAAATGGCTTGACCATTCCTGCTCTCAACCTCCACTGTCTGCCTGAAATAGCCTCTTCTACTTGCCCCATTCTCTGACATCATGGGCTACATGGTGACTCACTTTTCACCACCTCATCCCACTCTCAAATGGTTCTAATGATGAGAAATTTTGGGCCTGAGTTACACCCAGATGAAGTAGCGCTACCGTGTGGTAGGAATGTGAAGAGTCCTTGGAGGTTCTACCCCTCACCTTCCCCAGCAGTGAGCTGCTGTCAGGACAATATCTTCCTCCACCAAGAAACCACCACACTGTTCCTCCGTGCCATTAAGAGTTAACTCAACAAGTGCCATGTATGGATGTGAATGAGGCTGTGCTTCATGACCTCCAATGATTTCCTCTGGAAACAAAAACAAAACAAAACAAAACAAAACAAAATGGAATCTGGAAGGAGTGATCATCCTACCTGATCATTGAAGACAGGATCAGCTTTGCCCTTTAGTTTTTGGGACAAGTTGTCCTGGACTCTCCCAAAAGCAATCCTTATTGGCTTGATAACATGCCCGTCTCTTCAAGTCTCAATGAGCTCTCCTAAAAGCTGATAGTTCTCGTTCTGGAAATCTCATATTACACACATGGATTGTGGGGACAGACCTTGTTTTCAAATTGGTAGAATCCCAGAGAATCATGGAGAAGAATCCTTGCCTTTCTGGTTCACCCCAGGTGAGCTCCTATAGGCTTGAGTGACTCTCCAGGTTGACTATTCCAGCCCTGTTGTTCTAGCAGAGCAAATGAAGGCATCCTGCTATTGCTAGCAAGAGTCTTCAGAACCCAGAGATTCGTGAAACATCCTTGTCCCCAGAGCCAGGCCAGGCTAGTGTTAAATTTCACTTTAAAGGCAGCCATCTTTTTCTTCAGGTTCACCGTGCACAACTGAAAGGCATTGTTACAATTCTTGAGTCAGGGTAGGGCTGGTGCTGAGGGGAAATGCTGGAAGGAGGGGACTCTTGAACTTGAGCCTTTGGTTTCTCAAGAAGAGCACTGACGGTAAACAGTTGTGGCATTTCCTTTAGCCCTCAGTTCATATGAAATTAATTGATCCATACCTGCTGTCAATCTTCACTATCTGCTTAAAACATCCAGTGAGGTACCTCTCTGATCTTTCCCACTTGCTCCAACCTCTGCCTTCATAAGCTAATGTTGACCTTCTTTTCTCCACCTCATCCTGCTCACTATTCCTCTGATGAGACCCCTTGGGCCTGTGTTACACACGCTGCAGGAGCGCCCCTGAGGAGCAAATATGGAAATAGAAGTCCTGGTAACATCTGCCCCTCATCTTCCTCTGCAGTGAACTGCTGTCAAGACAAAGTCTTCTCACACAAGGATATCACTCTCTTGACTTCCCAGTGAAAGTAAAAAACACCATGTATGGATGTGAGGGGGGATTTGCTACATGACCTCCAATGATCTCCTCTTAAAGAAAAAGTTGGATGATGAGGTGACTGTGGCATCCTACTTGATGATTGATAAAAGGGTCAGCATTGCCCTGGAGATGCTGGGACAGATAGCACATGGTTCTCCTGAAAGATGGGTTTCTGTCACAGTGACCCATTCTTACTGTCAAATCTCAAACAGCCCCTCTTAAAATGTGACAGTGCTTGTTCTGGACAGCCCACATGGATAGATGATTACGCTTGTTATCTTTAAAATGGCAGAGTCATCATAAAGCATCCTGGATATGACTCTTTGGACTATTCTGTGTTTCCTGACCTGTCTGAACCTCTGCTAAGTTTGTGGTATTTTCTATTAATATACCCTGATGTTTATAGAATTAAAATTTTAGAAAAGTCTCAGGCTTTCCAGAGCCTATTACACCTTGGAACTTCAGTATATCTTTTTATCATTGTATCATTTAATCACTCCCAATAAGCCTTTGGATGAGCCTTGGTATGGATTATACTGGTGGGAGTCAAAGTCAAAGGACCGTCAGGAATGCTGACTACAAAGACAGTGGAGTGACCAAAGCCTGGGGAGGCAGAGAAGCCAACTAGAAGTAGACTGCAAAGGAGTTTAGACAATATAAATTCTTTGAGATAAATTGCAACTTGAATTTCTATCCTGGTCAGGATGAGCACTGAACCTGGAGAAGGACGTCAAACACATTGAAATGATTTTGAGACCACTACTTTAATAGCACACATATTTTTGTTGTTGTTGATTATTGCCTTTGAGTCGAGCATGTCTCATAGCCACCCCATGAACAAAAGTCCTGAAGACCCTCTACAAATATTGACATTTATCAAAGTTCTTAGACTTTCCAGAGGCATGTTATTTAGGAAGTGGATGCCACTCCTGCTTCCAAACCAGTCATAGTATGCTATTGTTGTTATGTGCCATTGGGTCGCCTGCCATGTATAGTGACCCTATGTTTAGCAGCCTTGAATGCTTCCCTCTCCTGAGCCAGTCTCACTAATTCCAACATACAAACCCCATTGCCCCAGTTACTAAATCAATCCATCTCTTCTGTGGTTTCCCTTACCTGTGCTGTCCATCCACCCTTCAGAGCATGATGTCCTTTTCCAAGGACCTATCTCTCTGGGCTACATGCCCAAAGTAAGTGAGTTGGAGTTTCAACATCGTAGCCTCCAAGGAGATACTTGGTTTCACCCTGTCCAAGACAGACCTACTTGTTTTCTTGTCAGTCTGTGGTACGTTCAAGATTCTTCTCCAGCATGACAACTGGAAGACATCTATCTATTCTTCTTCTGTCATCCTTAGTCATTGTCCAGCTCACAGAAGCATAACAAGTAATTGAGAAGACCATGTCCTGGATTAGGTGCGACTGACATCATTGCTCTTCAGCACTCTGGAGAGGTCCATGAAAACAGATTTTCTCAATGCAATTTTTCTTTTGATTTCCTGACTACTGGTGTGAAGAGTGTTGTTGATTGTGGATCCAAGCAAGCTGTGACCTCAATCTCTTCTCCATCTAATCCTCATGCTGCCAATTGGCCTAATGGTGAGAATCTTTGTCTTCTTGATGTTGAACTTCAAGCCATATTGAAGTCTACAGTCTTTGACATTTTGCAGCAAGCGCTTCAGGTCTTCTTCAGTTTCAGCAGGCAAGGTTCTGTCACCTGTGTATTGTAAGTTGTTAATGAATCTTCCTCCAAACTTGATGCCACACTCTTCCTCATAAAGCCCTGTCTATTTATGTTTTATTGATTATACAAAAGCATTTGACTGTGTGATCTAAATAATTATGGCTAATATTGGAGAAAGAGAATTCCAGAACACATACTTTTACTCGTATGGAAACCTATACCTAAACGAAGAAACTTTTTTTCAAATGGAGCAAAGAAACACTGAATAGTTTATATAAGAAAGGTGTGTTATCAGGGATGTATCTTTTCTCCATATCTAATCAATATGTACGCTGAGGAAATCATTCACAAAGCTGGACTCTATGAAGAATAATGGGGGATCAGAATTGCAGGAAGACTCATCAATATTCTCTGTTATATAGATAATACAACCTTGCTTGCTGAAAGGGAGAGAGACCTGAACCACTAGGTGCAGAAGATCAAAGACTACAGCCTTAAATATGATATGTATTTCAACATCATAAGACAAAATTCCTAACCACCACACCAATAATCAACATTGATAGATGGAGAAAGACTGAAGTTGTTAATTAATTCTTCTTACTTGGATCACAATCAACACCCTTGGTACCTGCAATCTTGAGATCAGAAGACATATTACATTGAACAAGCCAGCTGTCGGAGTTCCTTTAAACTACTCAGGAGCAATGAAATCAGTTTAAAGAATAAGATGGGCCTGATTCAGGCCATGGTCTTTCAAATCACTTGCTATGCATCAGAAAACTGGATAATCTATAATTATGACAAAAGGATAATTAATTTCTTGAGCTATGATGTTGGAGAAGAGTGTTGATCTTTTGGACTTTCAAGAGATTGAACAGATATGTGTTGGATAAAGTGCGCATATAGTGATCCTTGGAAGCAAGGGAATAAAGCTTCATCTCACATACTTTGGACATGTTGCTAGGAAAGGCTATTTCAAGGAGGGGGACCTCATACTTAGAAAGGTAGAGGATCAGCAAAGGAGAGAAAGACTTTCAATGAGGTGGGTTTGTGTGACTGTGACAATGTGCTCAAGTATATCACAGATGATGATGATGGCACAGCATAGGCCAGGGTTCAGAACTATTATTCATAGGATTGATAGAAATGATATTTAACTTGGAGGCACCTAACAACAGCACTGTAATAAGATCAACAGCCTAACTATGCACATTTCTGCATCCACAGAGAGTCATCCCTGGCCTTTCAAATTCATCCAAGTCCCTTTGGTAGAAAGATGGGATGATCTCTTCCCATGCAATTTAAAGCATTAAAAACTTTCTGAAGGATCAGGTAGGAGTTGGTTTCAAGTACACAGCAAACACTTAGGCTTTGCCTCTGATAATAAGCTTAAGCGTGACAGCAAGTGTTGTAAGGATAGCATAGGAACTGACCGTGTTTCATTTTATTGTGCACTGCACATCAAACTCACCTATACCTAAAACAACAGAAATACCCCAATTCTTTGTGTTTTAGCTTCATTTTCCTGAGGTAGAGGAGTGGGTAAGAAGTTGGCCTGTCAACCCAGGTCTCCTCAGTTTGAACCCACCAGCTGCTCCAAAGGAGAAAGATGGGAAACTCCTGTGTAATTTATAGCCTCAGAAAATCTAGTGGAGAGTAAACTATGAATTGGTTCTGACTTATTAGCAATGAATTATTGTTTAGCTTCTTGGCATGCAAAAAGGAATTTCAGTTACTTACCTTCATATCTTCTGTCAAATGTCTTTGTAAGAATAATCTGCTTCCCAGGTAATCGGGAGAAGCTAGGACGAAGCCACCACCTGATAAGCCTTTAAGTGGTAACAGTCCTGTTGTGATTTCACCTAAACTGGGGAAATTTGACAAAAAGCCAGGATAGTCTAACACCTACGACAGTGTCCAGGGTGTCTAGTCATCCTTCCAGAACTTCTATCCAGTATGAGACTGCTTAGTCTGGGTTTGATATGGAAGCTGGTATCTATAAAGTTTCTGGATTACATGGAAGGAATTCCTTACTAGCACTGGGCAGAAGGGCCAGGAGTACAAGTGATTCAGGGAAATAGGCTCAGGTTCCTAGGATGTAGAGGGTCACTCACCTGCTATAGATCCAAGAAGAAGGTGAAAGGCCAACAGGAGCAGGAGTGACTGCATCATCTGAGGAAGGCTACCCAGGCTAAAGCTGATGGTGTCTCAACCCAAAATAACCACAGTGCAATGAAGAGGGTCAGACCCAGTGACTTTATATCACACACATACATCTGTGATAGGCTTGTTTGGTTGGGTGTCATCACGCAAGTTGGTCTGCAGAATTTTTCTGGTTAAGTTAAATGAGAGCAACACTGTCACCACATTTTTGTTCATAGCTGTTGAGTTCCAAGCAGAAAACACAAATAAAGAACAAGAAGATGAATATTTCTGAGACTGTGCCAACATTCAGTAGAGTTGCTACAATAGGAGACTGGATCCGTTTGTGATCGAAACTAAGAATGTTCTCCTTTTCTGGCTCTTTTTTTTAAATAAAATTTTTATTTTATATTGGTTTGCTTGCAAAGTTTCTATATATTGTTTTTCACCCTGGATATTGCCCATTTCTGTCATCCACCCCTCTTTCTACTCATCAAATTTTGTGACCCTGTGAGCTGTGGTGGTGGAGAAGAGTATTGAATATACCATGGACTGCTAGGAGAACAAATAGGTTCATCCTAGAGAAGGTACGACCAGGATGCTCCTTGGAAGCAAGAATTTTGAAGCTTCATCTGACATACTTTGAACATGTTGCAAGAAGGGACCAGTCTTTGGAGAGGAATGTTACGCTTGGGAGATTAGTGGGACAGATCAGGAGAGGAAGACCCTCAATGAGATGGACTGATTCAGTGACTGGGGTATTAGGGGTGGATGTATAAGCGATAATAAGACTGGCACAGGACAGAGCAGGGTTTAGGGCTGTTGTACATAAGGTTGCTATGAGTTGCAGG